CAGTAAAGAACTAAGTAAGATCAAAGTACATTTATCTTTTAAACTTTCCTACTAGTCTCCAATTTACTCCAAAACAGCTTTAGAAAGTGGCAGTTTTTTCCCCAATAAAGTTTCAATTAAAGAAAAGCTCATCCAAATGTTTATACTTATATGTATTATAGGCAACTCCTTTTAGCCTGGTTGCAGTATACACATTGTCGTCTCATAACTATTTTGTCCAAAGTCCCTCTTTACTTACTAAGTACACTTTGGACAAAACAGTTCTGAGGCTACGACAAGTAGAGTATATTTAATCTTTAACTTTTTAAAAATTGCATCAGGCAGCTTGTTCAATGTTTCTTCTGTGCATAGAGGCAGATTTGTGAGCCAGCAAGGAGGAAAGAAAAGACTTCCAAAAGAATCTTGAAAGAAAATACAGACAAACTGATTATAACACATTAATATAATATACATGGCAATACCTTTTCATGTCAACAGAGACAATTTTGCCCATAATTGTAACAGATCTTTTGCAATTTAAAAACAAAAACAAAAAATGTACAGGAGCAACAGAAGCACAAAGGCTGTTGAAAAACAAAAACATCCTCACACAACAATGAAGTTTTAGAGCCAGGAAAAAGATTCACAAACCTAAGAAGAAAAAGTCATACATGTATCTGCAAGTGAAGTAATACTTTTAATGCATCAGCAAATCTGGGAAAGAACTGCCATCGTTATTTAGCAATACGGTACAGAATAGTCTCCACCTAAGATCCTGGTGCTCAGGGGCAAGGAAAACGAGGAATGTTAGGCAAACAGTTTCTAAGCCGACTCATCTGGGGCAGAATCCATGGGGACTCATGGTCAGGTCAGGCCGACAATTGGTAAAATGATTTCCACTTACTTTGAGATCAACTGATGTGACATCTGGTTGGGATTATGGCTTATGGTGAACAAAGAGTGGTCAGCCTTGATGGTGAACAAAGAGTGGTCAGCCTTGATGACCAATCATAATGGCATGAGGCATGCCATTTTCAATTACCCAATTGATCTCAAGATCTACATCGGGCACACAGCTCCTCTCCTTCACATGTCAAAAACGTATAACTTTCCATCTCTGAACGAGCTCCCTGATTGTTACCACACTCTCCACTGAGTTGTAACTGCACCAACTAAAACCCAGTCTGTCTTGAAAATTTGGGAGGAGAGATGAAAGACAAGTGCTATGGTCAGGGAAACAATACCCTCCCCATTCACAATTTGATGTGATCCCATCTGAAGCGGCCTTGTAGACCCTACCCACCCAGCGTGTGACATTAGTTCAAGTAATAGACTCAAATGTGAATGTAATGCTTGGGGAAAACAGGTGTGTTGATGACTTCCCACCTTAATGAGATCCAGTCTGGGGCAAACATTGTGTACCTCTACTCATTGAGATTTACAACAGAGATGTAATCGCATTCAAGAGAGTGGATCATCTGTAACACAATGATCGTAACTTTTCGCTGCTTGAATGATCAGCTGCACTCACCACAGCTTTTGTAGTAAAAATTATGATCTGAAACATGGGATCTCAGCCGAATGTAGTCCTTCAGAGCGGAACCTTAAAGGCGACTTTCGTGGAGTAAAAATTATGTTTTCTTAAAACAGCAAGATCCTAAGTGAACCAGCATAGCAAGCAGTGGGATCTTAGGTGGAGATTGCTGTTTATATTTAAGCGTGGCATGACATAATCCAGCAGACTAGAAAGAAAACAGAATCTGATCCATGCAGGCTTGAAAGAAAAAAGCATGCAAAAGATTAGAATACCTAAAAAACAAAGAATAAGACCCGCCAGTTGTTTCATAATACATGTAAAATAAAAGGCAAAAGTTCCATTACCTTCTAGCATTCAATGGCAAAACTATAAAAAAAATAGAGGTGGAACCTTGATCTAGGAAATAATTGTAAGTCGTGAATGGTTAGGCCTCTAATTTAATACTTTATTTGTGTATTACCATCCCTTTTCTTCTTTAGTTTTAGTTTTAGTAAAGAGTTTTACGGCACTTGCAACACAATAAGGTCATATAAGTGCCGAAGATTAGAGGTGTTACAAGAGAGGAACAAACACAAAATAGAAGGAGGAGAGATCAGGACGATACACGTTTGATAGGAAAGAAGAAGCAAACCACACCAGAGCACCCGCCAACCACCCACTTTCTTCTTTAATTTCAAAAATGCAAATAAAAGTATTGAAAGGTCAAATCCAAAAGACATCTATGGTTATTATAAACTATTCTACATCTTTTATCGATGAAGAATTAAATTTTTCAAAGGGAAATAAGGAATTCGCAACTTGAATAGTTCTGCTGTGAGGTTTAATGTATGTAGTACCAGGCACTATCATTCTTACCAACTGTTCATTTCAGAATCACTCTCCGGTACAGGTTTGGTCAGAACACTCTATCATGGCCGTTACACCCACAAATTACAAATGTATTTCTTTTAACCTCTCTTTTCTCAAGGTGCTTATTATATCCTCGGAAAAAAGTAACAGTCCATAGAATTCTGGCCTAATTTTGAAAAAGTTATAATCACGCTACATAAATAATCCTGGTAGATTATTTTAGCTTATTCAAAGACAAAACGATATGTAAGACTAGTCTTTGAACAAAACCAAGAAATCGTCATGGATTGGGGCAAGCTTTGCAGGAGGACTGGACCAACATGCCTCAAATCAAAATTCCATGAATAATTAGCTCAATGAGACGAAGATGCCAGGCTGTTATTGCTGCACTAGGCGGGCATACTTGTCATTGAAATCACGCTCTAAAGCAATACATGCAATTTTCCTCAAATCGTGTTTTGCATTTTTTGGAGGGGTGGTCTTCTTGTCGTGAGATGTTTGTGTGTAAATTGTCGTTTTGTTCATAAATTACCAGGATTATTAGTGTTGCGCGACTAAAACCTTTTCAAAATTAGGCCTGAAATCTATGGACAGTTACTTTTTTCCGAGGCTATAGTTTGATCACCCCGATTGATAATAACAACCACAACAACAACAGTTTGAGCACTTTTATCAGTTCCGAACAAGTGGAGCGGTACAAAGCAAACACCGACATCATAAAGGACAGACTAAGGGTCATCGTGCACTGTTTTAGAAAATAAGGGAAAACAACGTTACTCGGATACTATTTACTTTATCATGCAGTGAGTCTAGTCACAATTTTTGAGAGTCTAAAAGTAAAACAAATGAGGCCAACTATCCCAACTAGTGAACTGACAGGCACTACAATCTTGACAGAGGTAAAAATAAAAATTGAAAAATTTTGTAAAAATTCCTTAACAAACAAATAACTAACACTAAATGACGCTGACCTCATATTATACATATATACAAATGTATGTATGTATACTTGTAAGGGCAATACTTGGTGAACATAAGCACCAACCCTGACTAATAATTACAGCTATATATATGAATCCTATTTACCAGCCCAATAGAGTACAGGGCAAAAAGTGTTTTGAGAAAGAATTTTACAGCACTTGCAACACAAATAGGTCATATAAATGCTGAAAATAATAGGCATAAGTAGAAAGTAACATACAAAGAAAAGAAGAAGAAAAGATAAGGAGGACAGATTTTCTACAGGAAAGAAGGAGCAAATCACACCAGAGCACCCACCAACCACTGTGGGCAATTAGAAATAAGAAAACATGTGAACTCTTGGATAAACCTAGACCCTTAAGCCACGCACAATACGAGAAATAAGCACTTACACAGGTCGGTAGAAGCACAAGTATCATAGGTTCCCATCATCATTAGCAACTTTTTACAACACCCACCTTCTCATCCAATTTGCAAGAGTGAATTACCTATCAATATATCACAAACCGATATAGAGCTGTCAACAATGTTTCAAAACACCCATCTGTCATGCCACCAGCCCAACTCCTCACACCAGGCAGCTCAGTCAACAAGCGGGTCCACCTGGTCACATTTCATTCATTAGTTAAAGCACCATAAAAAGCCAGATCTCAGAAAGTGACAGCAGACGGTTACATGTTCAACAACGAGTCATAAATCAACATATTTTCCTAACAAATTTCACACAGATCTATACATAATAGCCATTTGCATCTTGAAAGGTGATTTTAAAGCAGTATAATGCGTTATACAGCTTTGCCTGGGCGGTAGACATATGACATACAGAGCAAGTCTATCATCCATGCACTACTTCCCTCCCTTCAGATCTCAACTTCCTTGATATGCTCCAAAGGACAATCGTGGTCAGTACGTTTGGAATCAAGGAAGGTGTGTGGGGAAGTCACATTATTATTTTACTGGTGTGATAGGGATATTCTTAATTTTTCCCCCAAGGACCAAAATCCAAAAGCAACACAAATTTGCTGAATAGAACCTAAGGCGAAAAGGATATCTTTCCAAAAGACTTGAACCAAGTCAACCCAAGCTGATATTTCAGTGTACATTATATCCAAATGTGAGAAAAAGAAAGAATACTGAACCAGACACCATGCACAGACACACATGAAATCAGAAAATTTCTTATCTCCCAAATCAGAATGAACTCACAGAACAAACAAACAAAAAAGGGTTTCAATCAAAAGATACTACTAAGATATATGAAACTACATCATTCATCACTTTAAAATAATGGAACTATTGTATTTAAAATCCTAACAGCTACTCAACTGATAATAAGTTAAATGACACATGTATTCTTGGTGAAATCAGGCGTTCGTCAAAATAATGAAATCAAAGAAATCAGCATTTTTTGGCAAATAGGCAATTTTTTCCTAATTTTATTTTTGGCCCAACACCTTTTATGTCCATTAACAAACACATTTTTGAGTGAATTTTACTGAAAAACATTGATTTCAGTTTCCAAGGACTCTCAGGCTATGGAAGTTACCAAATTTAGGCGGCCATTTTCTTGCTAATTTTACCTCTGAAACCAAACAAACCTGACCTTCTTCAATCGCAAGTATTTTGACTTCTATTCAACATTGATGGGTTTGTCTTTTTTTCACCAAAAGGAAGGCGAATGAACAGGCTTAAAAATGATACAAATGACCTCATACGTCCAAAAATTGATGAGCGCCTGATTCCACCACGTCGTGACGCATATCTAGCTTCGTCAGCTCTCAGTTTAGCCAGCAGGACTGCTTGCGATGTAAACGTTATTGAATTTGTATACACAGATGGATTGGCAACTCTTGAATACTGGTTTATCAAAACTGCAACCCTGCAACACGTTTGACCCCCCAAAAATGTAATACCACTTTCTACGATGAGTATTATTTCATATTGTAGTTTACAGCTGGAACAGCATTTGTTAAAAAAAAATCATTTTAAGCAACGTTTTAATAAGCTAAACCAGAAATAGACTACCCGTACCAATTATAAACAGACTGAATGATACTGTTGTAAATGACATCGTAAAGATAATAAAATATAAAAATGCAGTTAGGTACGTTTCTACTGAACTGAAAAGATATTTTAAAAATCAAATCTAAAAAGAAAATAAAAACGGAGTAGTATGTATATTCATAAGGTGGGAGAGGGAGAAGGGAACAAACAAACATCAAATAACACACAACTCAGCTTCCACAAGAGACAGAAAAAAGACAACAACAACAAAAAACCCAACGAAAAACAGCCTAATATTTTTCATAAAACCTAAGATGACAGATCAAGTATAGCTCTCATCATTCCGTTGACCACATCCAGACTCTCATCCTCAAGGATGACAATATCAAAACTCTGGCTGTACTGAGGCAAGTTTTCCTCCACCTGAAACAAAACAGAAATCCAAACTTCAGCAAGGAAAAAAAAGTATTATCTGACAAAAATTGGGTAAAAGTAAGGATTAGCTCTCCACGTCTTTGTACATCATTATGATCAATTTGTGCTATTCCCTACCCTGATAGACATAATAATAAGTAATTATAACAATACAGTGGAGTCCACTTATATAACGAGTCCTGAAACAGACTCTATTCTAAAACCCCGTTTTTTTCTCCTTCTTTATCTTTGTAAATAAAATACTGCTATTGCGCCATCAGACCATCACGCGAGTCGGTTTTAACGGAATATTGCTGCTGCTGTGCACAGCGCACAGACCAATTACATATTATAAAAACCTTGCCAGTTGAGAAAGTTGTTGATGATCCAGCGAAATTAAGAATGGGAGAGCCCACGCGAACCAACAATGAAGGCCGGAGCGAATGAGTGGGGAGTGAGTGGCATGCGCAGACAAGCAGAACGCATCGCGTGATAGGCCAGCCCAGTCTAGATTATCTAGGCATACCGTGCCTCTCACTTCTCTGGTGCGGGATGGAGAAGTCACAATGCTGTGATAGATGGAGTGAATGTGTGACGTGCGCAAGCAGACGCAACGCACCACAGGGTGTGGTGGGGTGGGGGACAACACAGCCGGCGAGTTAGCCTAGAGCCAGACCCCCTTCTTTCTGATCGCCAACGCCGAGCTGTCAACATTGCTATTGCTAGTGCTAGAGAAAGAAACCTAATTCGATTTTTGATCAAGTAAGACCTAGAGATCATGTTGAACAAATCATCATCAGGGGAAATACAAAAAGGAATAAACAGAGCGCCAAACTCATAGATTAGGCCTACTTTAATACCATTTCCCTTGAATTTATAATTGGATCCCTTGTAACGAGAATCCTGCTATAACGGACATTTCGCACCGGTCCCATCCCTCTCGTTATAACAGGATTCCACTGTATTAATCATGAGAATTTATATAGCGCCTAATCCCCAGAAGGCTTTAACTACTGTACGACACAGAATATACCCTCAATGAAACTGAAAAATAAAAAAACGAAAAATGAACATTGTGAGATCATTCAACCAACACATACACTACAAACACAGATACAAACTTTTAGATCCACACACATTCTCATATACTAAATCTAGAGTCACAGGACAGTGTTGAACATAGCTGACCCACTGTGACCCCCACGATGAATCCTCATGTTGAGCACCATGTTAATTAAAAACATTCGACCGCTCAGTGTAACATTCTGTCATACTCATACATCACTTTTTAAAATGGCGTATGGCAGAGCCTCTCACTGTGCAGTCGATTTGTGCATTATTTAAATATATTATATGTGAGAGACGTAAACCACCCAAATCTTTCCTTATCTTCTAGGGAAAAATGGGTTCTAAAAGGTGCTTACTAGTGTGTGTCCTTAAGCAGAATATAAAACAAAATCCGAGTCTGAACTGTGGCGACAAGCAATAGTGTTTGTGTGTTTGAATTGACTGTGGCTTATCTCGCACAGAATAATAATGAATACTATGAATATTATGTATTCAGCTCCGAAAAAATAATTAACATATACAATTGATAAAAATGATCTCCTTACCTTAAAATTGAGGAATCCTATCTTGAGGAAGCATTCTACATGGTCTGCTCCTTCCGCCATTTTGAGATCACCAAGGGAGTCACCCATGAGCAGGAGATTTTCCCGATGCTTAATGTTGAAGAAGTAATCGCTGGAGTGGATGGCATTCTCATTTTTGTTGAAGGTATGGATGATCTCGTCACCCGCAAAGCCAGTCATCTTTCCCTACGGAGGAACAATTGGGAAAGCAGGAAAAGGATAACCCAAGTCATTTAGCATACAGTCATACAAACTTTCATATACATCTTCTTTTGAACGACAGAATAACATGGGAAACAGTCAACTTCAATAATCTATGTCCAAAGCTAATACTTAAAGCTGACGCACATGTCCTAAAATGTCGTTAAATGATAACAATATTCCCTTTCGACAGCAACTGAAAGAACATGAGAGAGTTAAATTTGATTTAAACCAAAATTGCTTGAAACAGTTTTCAATCAAATGACTGAACAGTCACGATAAATACATGCAGTATGTCGAGACTGCATTTGACAAATTCTAATGAGTCAAGTTGAAGTTATGTTCGCATCAACACTAGAAAAGTCTTTCTAGGTACTATCAATAATATAAACGATAAAAGGTGTAAAATAAGGACCTTTCCCGGGAACATGCAATGCACACAAATACACACACATAGGTATGGCCAAATAACTCTTAAGATATAATGAATATAACTAACTCATTCATAAGGTAATAAACCCAAATAAATTTCAAGCTTTAAAGCGCAGGCTACAAGGTATGGGAAAAAGCAGAGAGGTCAACCTTGGACAGAAAAGTAAGAGAGGAAAAGAAGTAACACCCGGATAACTTTTTGCAACGTGTGAAACGACAGATTTCTGTTGGCTGGTGATTATCATACGTGAATTGTTGTGAGCCTCGACAAAGCTTTAGACTTCATGCATTTCAGTGACTGCATTCAAGACTCACTTTCAAGTCAGCAGAGATAGTACTTCAGGCTAAACAAAACCAAGTTGAAAGCTTCAAAGAACTACTGAGCAAGCACACTCCAACCACTATAGATGAAATCTCCGGCATAGGATTTAGAAAATGTCTGGAGAAGAGGAACTAAACAAATACCACCGATAAAGCGCTCACCATTTCGTCAAACTGGAGAAAGTTTGCAACTATCTTCATGTTTTCTGAATGGAAACTGGACTGCTGTGTGATCGTTTCATGGATGACATCTCCGATACCCGCAGAAAATATCAGAATGGGGATCTCGAGCTGATGCAGCTTGTCAAAGAACCATTGACAACCGTTTCTGAAAATTGAAACAAATTTTCAAAAGTAAGACTAACTGAACAAACAAGGAAAAAGTAAAATTTAAAGACACATTGGAAAAAATTAGAGAACACTGAGATAGATAGTTGCTCAGTAATGACATCTTCAAATCTGTTGATTTGATGAGACAACTAACAATCTGGGTGACTATGTTCCGATGTACAAGCCTGAGAACATAAAAAGAAGATATAAAGATCCAAGAGCGAAAATCAAATTACACAAATTTACTGATCTGAAAACTTCATCTCATTGACATTATTATTGGAATGCTCTCCGTTTCCATGTTTCATAAAACTACATCATACACAAAGCCAGAAAATACCCTCATCCTTCCAGAAAAACACTTTCTTTTCCAAAGGTCTCCAAGGCTAACAAATATCCCGTTCATGTAAAGAACTATTCAAGATCTAGAGGAGTTTAGCTCAGGGCCTACTGAGAATCTACTGGGTTTGGACTGAATTAATTTCCCGATCAGGAAAAATAGCAACAAAATTTAATGTTAAATATAAGTTAGGATTGATAATAAATTAAACAAAATAGATGATGTGTTAATTAAAACATTTTGCTTTTTGGCTCTACAACTTTTACCATTTCTTTGAGGATTTTACTGAAAAATGTTGATTATAAAAGCACAAAAAATATGAATTGTAGGTTTCCACTGACTCTCAAGCTATGTAAAAACAAAACTTTGAGAGCAATTTTCTCTTTTTTTTTGCCTCTAAAACCAGGCAATCCCCACCTCCTTCAATCGCAAATATCTCAACTTGTGTCCAAGAAAAATGAGTATTTCTTTCATCAGAAGCAAGAGAAATAAACTTAACTTTTTAAGCCCTGAATTTTTTTAAACTGTTTCCCGGAATTTTTTCCTAGTCACCTAAACTTAGAGCACTATGTCTCATTATAACCCAAAAGCTTGCCTCCAACTTCTAAATAGCGGAAACAAAGCCTTAATCATTACTAAAAAACTTGGTTTGAGAATACTTCTGAAAAAAAAAAGCAAAAACTAGCACTAAATAAAACGAAACAGTTGTCAGTAATACTGGACGCTCCCAGCGTCTGATGGGGAACAGGGTTATTACCTCCGGATGCTCCCAGCGTCCGATGGGGTTTAAAGAGTAAAGGCAATACCAATAACTCCACATGCCCAAATATTGACGAGCGCCTGATTCCACCACGACTCAACACATATATTGGCACTGGGTTCAAATGTGTCAGTAACAGAAACCGACATGCATCAGCACACAGCAGACAAAGAGTCAAATGTCTCCCAAAACAAACAAGTTACTGTTGAACATACCTTAACCTGGCATGCGAGTCCGCCACAATGTGTTGCAGAGTATCCCGAGTAAGCTGACAAGCCTCTAGAACCTTGTGACCTTTTGTCCACCTGCAGAAAAATATCAGTAAAAACAGTCATAATACAAACATTCTGTTTATAGAAAAAAAAATGTCAGTGTTTTTATGGCCCCATCAACACAATTTAGATTATTTAGGAGGCAGGCTTTATCTTTGCCGTTCTGGGCTAGAAAATCCAGCAGAAAGACTGGGGTACTCAAAAGCAATTGTCCCCACTTGAGAATCAAACTCCTGCATACAGTGGCACAGTGCCTAACTGCTGCACCACAGACACAAATATAAACACTCTGAAACAACTCAGCTTTAGTTTTAGTAATGTTTTACAGCGCTCGCAACTGCATGGGGTCATATGAGAGCCAAGGGGTGGATGTCAACAGAGAAGTCCATACAGGGAATCAGGCTTACTCTGCTCACCTCTCTAGCACAAAGTCTGCTTCGACTATCAAGGCGCCCCGGAAATAACGGGTCACAAGAGAGTGACAAACATACAAAAGAAGTAGAGGAAAAATGACGATAGTAAGGATTAGGAAAGAAAAAGCATCAGTTCCACGTATGCAGTTCAGGCACAGGTTATGAGCATGACATTGATGAATCAGCCCATTTACAATTCTACAGAGCATAAGAACATGTAAATGTCCCCCCTTAAGGAACAGTAGCTTGAATGACTGATAATGTTTTCGTCACATAAAAAAAGTATGATAGTAACTTGAGAAATATCGGAAAACAGAAGCTGTCATTAATATTGTTCTACAAATCAAAATTTACCGGTACAGTTGAATCTTAAAAAAACAGTTCAACATGAAAGGAAAAGAATTAACTGACATGACAATCCAGTTCAGTTGATTCGTCTTTATATTAAATTACATGAAGATGGGGATTTTTCTCTCTTGAGAGCAACACTAATAAGGTTTTAATACAAAATAGCCTACTAAACGTTTTCCTAAATTAAAATCTATCCCATCTTTATACTAAACTAGCTGGGTACCCGATCGATGAACTGACTCAAAAGAATCGATCATCAAGTCATTGTGGAATCACTGAGCACTACATGTGAACGGAAGCCTCACTTGTTTACAATGGCGGCTTAGAAGACGAACTTTCCCAAGATTAGATCTAAACGAAACTAATGAAAAACTGAAAATTAAACTGCAGTAACTTCAGACTCCTTAATATATCTGAGCACCCTTCAGATGATTATGAATCACCGATAATTTTTTCAAATTCAAAAGTTAAGGAAGTGGTTTGGAAGTTTTATGAGACCAAAGTAACGAACTTCCACAAACATATATATATATGTGAGCTTTTGCCAATAGGTGGGTACCTAAAATGTAGCACAGAGGGTTGATCATAAAGTTTTTAATATTTCGTTTTTACTAGAATTTTTCTATTTGTCTATATCTCCTCCTACAAAAACATGTATTTACAGACCTACAGATGGCATGCTAAGCTGTGTAATTGGTGTTATATAACATCAAGTCAAATTCTTTCGGACATAACTATGATGACACACATATTTAGAATTTGAACATACAAAATTATTTTAACAGTTTTCTCATTGCTTTAATTTTCAAACATAAGCATGAAGAGCATATAAAATGGTGAGGATCCCAGAAAAAAAAAATTCTTAACGCCACTGTGTTTGCATTCGTGTCATCATAGTTATATCCGAAAGAAATGAAAAACTTTACGTTTTCATATCTTAACTTCCTTTATGACAATTTGGACAAATAACTATTCAGAAGATTTAATTTGACTCACAATGCATGTTAAAGATGAAAAAATACCACTTTATTCACATTTTACTATGAATCTTTGCAAAATATGAAATATTTTTCTAACATAACCATGATGACACAAAATGAAATATACCCTGAAAAGAAATTTAAGGAACATAAAACAATTTTAATAGTTATCTCATTGCTTTAATTCTTAAACATAAGCATGAAGAGCATATAAAATCCCAGAAAAAAAGAAATTCTAAATGTCTTTGTGTTCGCATTTGTGTCATCATAGTTATGTCCAAAAGAAATTATAAACTTTCCATTTTCATATTATAATTCATTTTTTGAAAATTTTGGCAAACAAAGATTCAGGAGATTCAGTTTGACTCGTAATCCATGCTAATGGTGAAAAAATGCCACTTAATTCACATTTTACTATGACTCTATGCAAAATAACAAATATCTTTCGAACATAACCACGATGACACATAATGGATAAATGTTAGTCATCATTTTGGAACATATCACAAATTTTCCCCTCTTGTTGACATCTAGCCAAGCACGCGTGATCGCATTTAGGTCTACCACAACTTGACCATTGAAACGCAGAGCGATGTTGATCATTACTAGGTTTGAATTTCATTAAAAGGGGGGAAACATTTTTCGGACAAAACAGCTTTCTTCGGACAAAACGTGTTAAGATTTGATGACGACGTAAGAAAATTTAATGAATTCGTCTCATCCATCGTTCTTCTTTTAGCCGTCTTGCATCGTACAACAATAAGCTTTGAATGGATAGACAGGAACAATGCACGTTCCTCCAACCCTATTATTTCTCGTTTTCTGATCGGTTCTTTCAAGCATAACAAATGATAACAGAGCACGAGGCATCGCGGGATTTCCGTTTACTGAAAAATTACGTACTGTCACAGTCTTGGAATCAGTCCGAGCAGAGAATAAACATTGAACGATATTATGCTAGTTCCAGGGCCCCAAAATGGCCGATAGAAACGAAGTCAAGGGGAACCGAAGCTGCCTTGCGAAACGACAACACAAGTTATGCTCGAAAAAGAAAATTTAGAAGGACCACAAAGAAAAAACAGCTACAGGTGTCATCATTCCCAGTACAGCACCACAATTAATGTAGTTATAGTAGTAAAAGTGTAGAAGAACGAGTTTCTCAGCAATTATTTTATTGCTGAACTTGACGACAGAAAAAGTACGAACTCCACGCATCATGTTTTGAATTCTAAAAATACATTGATTCCAGAACTAAAACTATTTGTAAGATTTTTTCTGATGGCCAAACTCGTATTTCTTTGTCCCGACAGCTGAAACATCATATTAAGCACAACATATACAAATTACAAAGCTGTAGCACCTTTTTTTATAGGAATAGGAAAGGACTTTGTAAGGTAGGCCTATATGAAGAAACCCCCACCTATTGGCAAAGTCTCATATAGATGGCCAAAAGAACATAGACACAAATTTGACACAAAATTCTGGGGTGTTTTTTATACAACATATGGCAAACTTACTGCATGAATCAAAGACAAACACTCGCAGGAAAGCTTGACCACCTGCACGAGTGGACAACTCTGTTACATATATTACTATCAAGAGCAGCGCAGAGAAGCTTACCATTCAATCATCTTCGGTATTTTTTCGGCTACTGTTTTAGTAGGGTCGAACTCAATAGGCATGTATGTGTCTTTCAGTTTTTTAGCCTGGGAGAGAAAATAGAAAAAAAAGGAGAAAGATGAACGTTTAAGTTCCCATTGACAAAATTTCAATCATTAAGAAGGTGGGGCTTTGAATCTGCCAGTCAGGGCCAACACCAGGCCAAGAGGGATCCAAAGGCTCAGCAAAAAGAACAAGGTACAAAATTTAATTTCTGCTTACACAGGAATCAAACTCAGGTCTTCCGTGTGAGATGGCAAAGCGCCTTTCTGCCACACCACAAATGTCAGTCTGATGTCTCTTAAATACTATCAGTCATGAGAGGCTTCAACTGTTTGTTCATGGCTATACTCTTACCCAGGGTGAGAAAGGCAATGATGATGAGAGGTTTAAGATAAGAAGAAGTTACATTGAGCAGTGAAGGTTACAAGTTAAGGTAGATCTACCCAACATACATTTAAAGAATTTTTTAAACCATCAAATAGTTATATATCACAAACACTTTGAACAAGGACATAGCCAATGACTCCATGGAATATTCAGTAATCATGAAATCTGTGAATACATAAGGAACATAAACCTCAATCAGAACAAATCAACAATGGTGAACTCACCTCCTCTTTGTAAAAGTCTGGCATGAACTTGCTTTCCTCCAGCACACCTGTATTTGCAAAAGATTGCACGATGTAAAACAACCATACCATTTTTTTTTTATGTAAAGAAAATTTTAGTAGATGTAGACATGTTCCTAAAAGCGTAAACATACAAAGCAGAGAAATAAATAAAAACTTTTCTGATATTATAACTGAAGTGAAAAAAACCCACATCCAGGTTGATCACCTTTGTTGAAGGAACAGACTTATGCAATGAATCTACAATGATCTATGACCTGATGAAGTTCCTTCCTACATTCTCCTCTCATTTACGCGAAGCAGCACCTTAAGAAATAAAAGAAATACTTTAGGTATGGCTGTTAAAAGGATTTAGTCAAGCTCAGTCTTCATTAAAGATAAACTTTTTCTCAAGCTTGAAGTGACATTTGACCAGTGAAACAGCAGTTCAAATAAACTTAAGGCAGACGCTATTTGCAAAGCCGCGTTCTGAATAGCTCCCATGCTATTTGAAACGCCGCATTCTGATTAGCTCCCATGCTATTTGAAACGCCGCATTCTGAATAGCGCCCATGCTATTTGAAACGCCAGTACTAGGCTGGTAGCCATCGTTTCTACATAATAATATTGTAGTTTTGCCTGAATTGAGGAAGCTTTCTCAGTTTCTTGAAAAACCTCCTAGGATGTGACTCCTTTTTTATAACATCTTATTCAATTCCGATCAATATTGGGTAGATCTAGACCTAGATCTAACAACTGTTTTTGACACTGACATTGTTTGCACAAAAGTAGGCTAGTCTTGTTCATCTCTCATAATCATAATCATTTGAGTTGGAGTTGGAGCAAGTAAGTCAAATTTAAAGACGCTTGGGTAACAATAACAAGACGGTGCAACTCGGTCTTAGCACTATTTCCTGTCCGCAGTTACGTCACACAATAGCCTAGATCAACCAAAAAATAATTATTAGATCTATCTCTGTGTGCACTTTATATTTTGCCATCACACAAAACGTCGCCTGATCTAGATTTCTAGGCTTCGGTGTTTAAATTAGCAGGGGGTAGTGTCGAAATTCTCTAACGATAGGCCCAGAGAACGTATACAAGCTGTCTATTTTCTCTAATGTTCAGTGCTTTCAAGCATGGCATCGAATCCCGGTCCCGGTTCTCCTGAGCCTAAAATTATTTTTTTAAAATAATTAGGCTCGCAGACCAAGGAAAACCTCTATTGAACTTTGACCGGGCCTAAATTGGTAAAAGGAAAAGTATAGACCTACTTTGTAAGTAAAAAGCTCCTCTTGCAGACAAAACCAGAATGTGCATACTTCATCACTACATAAAAAACTACAATACAACATGTTATCATTTTATGGGGAAAAATTGTAGGCCAGTCGGGAAGACGGGCAGAAAAAAAACAAACTTCCACGACCGGGATTCGTACCAATACTCATAAAATTATGCTTCGACTTTAAAACGCAGACGCCTTCGGCCATCAGAACTTCCAACAACGAAGTGTAGATTAAGCCTTATATTTAACACACTGCGTTTTATTTAGCACTGGCGCTAATAGCAATGCGGTGTTACAAATAGGCACTTCCTAAACTTAAAGAAAGAAAGAACAATATCGATAATAAACAATCATACATAGAAATATCACTTAATCCTCCTACCAGCTACTACAGTTAGCAAGAGTGGATCAAAAGAGAGTTACATGCATTAAGATATAAACTACAGATACAACATCAAATCTCAAGACATAGATCTACTTTTACAAGGCGGTAAGATGGGACTTACAAATTTATTGAGATATTGAAACTAATGGCAAGGAGCAATACAGTTGTACACAAAGCATAAGGAACACTGTGTGCTCTTTTGTCTTTAGAGTAGGCCTAAAACTCAGAAGTGACTGGCACCTGCTTCAGAATCGAAACTTGTGTTTAAAACCTATGAGAAAATTTTGAAGATAACATGATTTTAAATATTTAGCCTGATAAACAGGTTGAAAGAAAATAAATGTCAATCACTATCTTGGACAAATGTGAGGCAGCGTGGTGGAATCAGGCTCTGGTCCAAATAATCAAAGTGAAGAAACTTGCACTTTTCCACAGGCTTATGAATTTTTATCAAATTTTTGTTTTTTGGTTCAACACCTTTCACGCCCATTAAAGATCTCATTTCTGTGTGGATTTTTCTGAAAAATGTTGATTAAAGGCACCAAAAAATGTAAATTTTCAGTTACCATGGACTCTTAAGCTAAGGAAATAACTAATCTTTGGCGGCCATTTTCTTACCAATTTTACCTCTTAACACAGGTGATCCCCACCTCCTTCATTTGCAAACATCTCGACTTGTATTCAAAATAAATGGATATTTTATTCATCCACATGAAGACAAGTGAACAAGCTTTAAGATGATACCAATAACTCTACATGCACACTGCCTCACAAATGTGTCATGACGCGGTGGAATCAGGCACTCGTCAATTTCAAGGTATATGGAGTTACTGGCATCGTCTTAAAGGTTGTTTATTTGCCTTGCATTTGATGAAAAAAATATCCATTTAACTTGAATAGAAGTCTAGATCTAAGTATTTGCGATTGAAGGAGGTTGGGTCGCCTGGTTCCAGAAGTAAAATTAGCGAGAAAATGCCCGCTAAAGATTAGTGACTTCCATAGCTCAAGAGTCCTTGAAATTGCAAATTTATACTTTTCGTGCCTTTAATCAACGTTTTCCCATAAAATCCACACATAAAAATGTTTTTTAATGGACAAACAAGGTGTAAAGCCGAAAAACAAAAATTTGAGGAAAAAAATCCAAACTGGCCGAAAAATGCAGATTTCTTCGTTTTCACTATTATGACGAGCGTCTGATCTCACCACGATGCCTCACAAATGATTACTATGGCTATATGATTGTTAGCAAAGAGAAAGAAATACTATGTGCACGACATCGTATTTGCCTCTGAGAAAAATTATTTAGATGTGACCGGCATCAGCTTCGAGTCAAGACATTAAGACTTGTGCGTAATAAAAGTCATAAGAAAAGTCTGAAGACAGCATGGTTTTCTATCTATTCTAAAAAAAGTGCTTGAAACTTTATATATAATCTGCAGGAAACACTGCTACTTTTAAAAGATTTACTTCTACTAATACAAGAGAAACAAAGGTCTTTTTAAGCACTGCTCATTACTGTATTAAAGTATTAGGCTTGCTAACTTTTTCAAAGACCAACCAGGGACACCCATAACTTCAGATTCCATAACAAAGAATGATATTACATAAAGTGGGACTGATTTTTGGTGTATGAGATAAGGCTCTCAAATTCCTAATTGCCAAATTTGGAACGGTCCCGAGCATGAATAGCATGCCCCAAAGCAGGGGAGTTGCACCTCGTGAGGGTGGGAGGGCAGACTATTTACATTCCTTGCTTTACTCTGGGTGACTCAACAAAAGATATGATGTCTTCTCAGGTGAAAAGCAGGTGTGAAAGGGATAAATATAATTTTACCTCAGAAAGGTAGTCACAGTGAAAAACTCACTGAACAAAGTCGAGAAAAAGACAGATAGTTTATTCAGTACAGTTAAGAAGAAAAATTGTATTGCATGGTGGTGAATCAGACTCTTGTCAAAATAATAGGAAAAAAGAAAATAGCATTTTTCAACCTTGGGGAATTTTCATCAAATTTTTTCTTTGGTTCAACACTTTAAACGTCTGTCAAAAAAAAATATTTCTATGAGGATTTTACACAAAAACATTGATCAAAGACACAAAAACATGTAGATTCACAGTTTCTAAGGACACTCAACTTTTGGAAGTTACCAAACTTTGGAGGCTATTTTCCCGCTAATTTTACCACAGACACCAGGCAACACCCATCTCCTTCAATATCTGATATCTCAACTTCTATTCACAACAGAGGAGTAGTTGGGTTTTTTTTCATCAATAAGCAAGACAAATGAACAAACTTTACATTGATACCAATAAGACTATATGCCCCAAAATTGTCAAGTGCCTGATTCAACTGCCTCGTGACACACTTCTTTTCAATAGGGTTCAAAAGAACAGTTCAGTATTTAGATTGACTTAAGGACAACGAGATAATGATGGCCACTTCAGACTGAGAACAGGAAGATAACGGGAGGCATGACAAATAGACAGACAGACAGGAAAAAGTGTACAGCCTACCAGAAGCACCCTGTAACTCATTGAGGATACACATTCTGTTCATTCTACAACACTTGCAGGAGCCTTGTTTTGGGGCACTTTAAAATGAAAGTATCACTGTTATTTTCACTATGTCTTTAGAGAGTTAGTGGTCATATATATAGTATTAGGTTTTACGGCGCTCGCAACTGCTAAGGTCATATGAGCGCGCGAAACACAAGTTGTTCACCTCTGCGAAAGTTCAC